TTTTTTTTTTTTTTCTTCAATTCGATATCACAATTATCAATTTTTTCGAGCCAATGCAGCTGCTATCCCTCCGGCTAAAAGCCCAACGGCAGTTGCAGTGATGCCAATTCCAATAACACCATCTGCAATAATTGACAAAATCAACAATGAAGATACACGCCACGAAAATAATGCTCATACAATCGAGAAAAGTACAACTCTAGGGTTTTTCATGCTCGAGAATTCACCTTTAGTAATTCGATCCTCCACAGCTTTCTTCAGAGAAAGAGCTTGCCTCCAGTCAGGCGCAATCTGAAAAAGCACGACACATATTTGGTTAAGTTTTTGTATAATTAGTAAAAACCATGGCCAGGATTTGAACTTTACAAAAGTATATGGATAATGAACAATTATTTAAAAAATGAAAAAAAAAAAAAAACACCTCCAAGCACTGATCTAGGATCTGCCTGCTCCTTGCATAGTCTCCACTTCTGTAATATCCAACTGCAAGCAGATAAAGTTTCTCTCTTTTTTGCAATGGGCTGTTCGTGTTGGTTAGTGAAGCTGCAAGTAAAAAAAAATCATGAATACCAAAAATTTAATCAGAGCATTTAGTTAAAACGTATTGCGATAGAACACAAGTTAGATGGCAAAGCAACCCAAATCAAATCAGACCGAAACAACACCAGAAGAAAAAACTACATAAAAATAGAAAATATATAAAAACAACAACCAACAAGATTGTCAAGATTTACAATCTCAGCCTCAGAAATTGCTATTCCTTTGACAGGTTTATAATCTGTCAGGGACTTCATTGATAAGTATTGCCAAAATGTATATTCGAATACTATTATCGATCAAAATACCATAACAAAAGCTACATATGTTTGAAAAGAGCTTCACAGAGAAGAACCAACTCAATCCACCTAGTTAAGACGAAACAGAAAGGCAAAAATATGAATCTGATCAAAACTTGCAATTTCACCTTCGAGCATGGCTATCCCTCGTTGAACATCTTCAGTTTGTCTGGAATGTACAAGAGCCCACGAAAGCCGCATAATACCTTCGTTTACCCTATCATCCGAGCCCTCTTTTTTGGCCTCCACAATTTCTCGCTCGCAGCCCTGTAATAACAACAAAATGAAAATCACAATAAAAGGATCGAGCACGCATTATAGCTAAACCAAACCATAGTAATATAGCTTTTTCCAAGAATGTGATGAAACACTGATCGTTGCATTCGACACAATCTTTCAGCAGGTTACAGAACAGAAACTCTTCACAGTTGTTCATCACAATTCAGAACTTGCACACTTAACCTAAAAACACCCCTAAAAAAACTTCAAAGCCAATTGGACAATCACATACTCACATTTCAGCCCAAAGAAACTGAAAAATGCACTCACCATCAAAGATATCACATATAAATACACGAAAACTAAATTATTATAACGAAATCCCCTTCTATACAGAAAAAAAAAAAATGAGCTTTATTAAAAAATTGCAACTTTTGACAGCTAAAATCGAGAACCCATATCAAGAATAACGGCATAAACACAGAAATTGCTGTAATTTCTATTATTTTACCAAAAAAAAAAAAGATACATAAAATGAATAGAACAATAAGCAGAAGGAGATGTATTTAACAATCAAATGTAAGAACTAAAGGGGAAAAACTGCGTACTCGGACAACATCAGGTGTCGACCATGGGATTTGATCTCCGCCGCGGAAGAAACTAGTGACAGAATCGAAGAATTGATTGATCTTGGCCTCCATAGTCTCTCGTGTTCTGATTATCTTCTTCAATGGAGTACGGCAAATTTGGCAACGCGGTTACAGATTTTTATTTTATTTTATGTTATAACTTCGTAGAAATCAATAAAAAATAAGTATATTGTACCAAAAAAAAAATAAAAAAAATTAAGTATGTTATAACTCAAAATTTTAATAATACTTGTCTCATTATAGATATTTACCACATTATAATATGTGCAATTTTCTAATTTTAAAATTTAAAATATTTAAAAAATACGAAAAATTAAAAAGTAGTTAAGTCCAATTAATGAGTTGACTCGACCGGGTCAATGCTCGAGTCCAAACGAATTCAAATGATCAGCTCGAACTAACTCCCAACTCCAGATCGACCCGATTAGAGGTCTAAAAACATTGCTCAAGGACGTAAAAGAACATAAAACAGAACCGAGACTCTAGTTGTTTTATCGTGACTGCAACATTCGATCTCACTATAGTCATTGAATTTTTCAACATTGGATCGACAAAAGAGAAATAGGGAGAAGATGATGTGGGGCCTAGCTAGAAACTAAACTACATATATGATTGAGAAAAAAATGAAATAAATAAAAAAGAACAAAGAAGAAGAAGAACAATATTCCATGTATATAGCTGGCTATAGACCCTTGGGAGAAAGAGCACCATTTTTGTCTCTATACAGCAAGCAATAAGCTCTCAAATCCTCTGGCATACTCTTGTAAACCTTCCACCATATCTTGTGAGCCGAGTTGCTGGCATACCGATGAAACTCCGGCACGTCCCAATTGCAATCGCTCTCTTCGTCCCCACACTTCCACGGCTTCAAACCCGTGTAATGCACCGCGAAAACGTACTTCCCATCCACATAATGCAACCGATCCTTAGCATCCACAAACACTTTAAGGTAGTTCGTCTGAGCTGGAAGTCGATGCCACCACGCGAACATCTCGTTCAAAAACCCTTGATCGCCACCGTTGTAAGACTCGACCACGGTCATCTTCTTCAGGAGGGTCTCGAAAGCGCACTCGGATGGCTCGACTAGCATGAGCCCCGAGTTGAAGAAGTGCTTTTGGTAGTTACCTGCGGCCGTGAGCTGCGGGTAGGTGAAGAACTTGTCGAGGTTCGTGTTGACTATGAGGTCCGAATCGATGAATATGATCTTCTCGTATTGCGTGAGTTGCCATATCCGGAGCTTGCTGTAGTTCCACTCGTTGTAAGTGTTTTGTTTGGAGTAAGGGCTTCGTATGCGTTGGATGAGCTTCGTTTGCCAACCCGCGGCTCGAAGGGCGTTGATTGATCGGGGTGAGATGTTCTCGTCGGCTAGGAGGATTAGGTCTTTTGTGGAGTTCGATTGGATGATGCTTTGGGCAAGGACTATTGCTCCGCAAACGTAGTCTTCTGACGTGTGGAGAACCGTGACGTAAGCCTCTTTCGAATGGCGGTTTTCGTCGTGTTTTTTATTGTGGTTGTTGATTTGTGTTGTTATGTGGTTAGTATTCTTCCACAAGTCTTGATCACCTTACAAAAAATTCATGGTAACAAACACATTTGGTTAATTACTATGTACATGCTAATTAAGCAATTGAGTAATCTACTAATCTTTAAATAGTTGCTACATGTTGCTTATTAGTTCTTTTTTTTTTTTTTTTTTTTTT